GTGTTACTTGTCTGTATCTGGCAGGTCTCTTTTATGACTTTGAGTTCTGTTTCACACGGCCCCTCTATCCAGGACCTCCCGAGGGCATCCTCTTCAGAGGGGTGGGCAGTGGTAGCCGGGCATCGTCTCGTCCTTCTGGTCTCAGGTTGTGGAGACTGAGGTGGACATAGTCCATTGGTCCACTGGACAAGCTGCTCCCATGTCCTTCACTTTTCTTCCCTCGGGATGGGGAGAGACCAGTCGATGCTGCCCCCCAGCTGTAGGCTGCCATTGCTGCTCACCCAAGTGGAGCATGGCCTTTGTGGACCACGTGGTGCCAGTTGACCTTGGTGTGCCCCAGAACTACGGCCCTGAGACCCCAGGCCCAGTGACTCCTTCTCTCAAGGAGTATGGTTATGCTCAAAGTATGGCATCACTTTGTCTCATGGGCGCTCCACCGTGTGCATGAGTCCATCGACAGCAAAGGAGAATCCCAGGTGCAGAAGCCCTGTCACCCTGCTCCTCACCCACAGCTGCTCATCCCGACGCGATGCCTCGCCTCTCAGACTGTGACAGCGAACAGGGGCTCAGGCAGCACAGCCGGTTTGCGTTTCTGGGGGCTGTCCCATCTGAGCCGCCCATACCCACAATTGCAGCCCTAGCCCATCTTCCTGCCCCGGCATCTCCTCGCCGTGTCCTGGGGCTTGTTGCCCTCCAGTGGCCGGGCGCTGGCGGGGCGTGCCTGAGAGGAAGAAGTCACAGAGCAAGCCAGTCCCTTTGTTGCCAATCCCCTGCCACGGGACGTGTTCAGGAACAGAAGTGCTCGGCCTTTGCGTTTTGTCAAAAGTGAGTTCAATAGGGGGCTCCGTGTGTTGGCTTGGCTTTTCCAAACCACACTGCCATGACCTCGGGCCACGGATCGTGGCGGGCAGTGACTGCTTTAGGAGAGCTTCTGAAGTGGGTCCAAGTTGTGGGAAATGCACTTTCGTTTTTGATGCATCATCGGCCCGGCGAGCGATCCGAGGGAAACAGGGCATGCTCTTTAGTCATTTGGGGGAACTCCCGAGCAGAGCCCACCACCCCAACCATTTCCCACCTTCAGTCCTGGTTGTGGAGTCAAAACGTTCACTAGGTTTTGCTGAATTTCCACATCCCTGAAACGCCCCTGGGCACAGTCCTGCTACCAGGGGTCACAACACATGCTGGGTGGGGGGCTCTGTCCTCAAGGTTGTCACACGGTAAAGGAGGACATGTTCTCACTGTCCGCTGTCTCGCTGGTCTGCCCGAAGCCGCTGCTTCCTGGGATGGGCTGGGAGCAGAAGCTGGGGGCCTGGGGCTTCCTCCTCACACACAGCGCATCCTTCATGACCTTGAGAAAGTAGCTGCGGAACTTCTGGCCGATGAAGGCATAGAGCACGGGGTTGAGGCAGCAGTGCAGGAAGGCCAGGACCTCGGTGACGGTCTGGGTGTAGCTGATGAACTTCTCATGGCCGCATGACCGGCCCATCTTGCCCAGATTGACGGCAGTCACGAGGAGCACCATGTTGTGGGGGGTCTGGCAAACCAGAAACACCAGGACCACCGCGGCGATCACTCGGATGGCCTTGTGCCTTTTGGAATTCTGAGCCTGCACGAGCGTTCTGATGATGCACGTGTAGCAGAAGACCATGCAGACCAGCGGGATGAAGAAGCCGAAGAGCAGCTGCAGCCCCAGCACCAGCACTTTCCACCGGACGGGGTCCGTGACGCTGTGGTACTTGGGCTCACAGACGTCCAGCCCCTGCATTCTGTATTTCTGGTTGAAGACGAACGTGGAGCTGGAGATGACGATGGACACCAGCCACACCGCCCAGCAGATGGCCTTGCTGTGCGCCCGGGTTCTGGACCGGAGCTGGAAGGACCGGGTGGCCTGGACGATGGCGATGTACCTGTCCACGCTGACGCAGGTCAGGAGCAGCATCCCGCAGTGGAAGTTGATGGCGTAGATGCCCTTCATCACCTTGCACATGGCGTTGCTGAAATGCCACTGCCCACTAGCGTGATTCGCTGCCCAGAACGGGAGCGTGAGCACAAAGAGAATGTCCGCGACGGCCATGTTCAGGAGGTACACGTCTGTCATCGACTTGGCTTTCTTGTAGAAGGCGAAGGTGACCACCACTAAGAGGTTGCCCAGGAGGCCGAAGATGCAGATCAGGCCATAAGCCACAGGTACAAAGAGCCTGGAGAAACTCCTGACCTCCTCCAAGGAGCAGAGGGAGGTGCTGGGGTCCATCGGGGGTAAGTCCGTGTCTGTGAGATCAAACTCATACTCTGTCGTGGAGCTGAAATTCAGCGCTTCCTGTAAAGCAGGGAAGGCAGAGTGAATGCTAGTGGGATCTTTAAACAGTCCTCGAAGCCCAAGGGGAGCTCCCGGCCGGTGAAGAGGAGGCATGCTTACCTGGCTCATGAAGGGGCTTGTCGTGGGCACAAAACGTGGGTCTGCCATGGGGAGGAGAAAGGACTGCTGGCTCGTGGGCAGGAAGGGCACAAAGGGAGAAGTGGGTCTAAGAAGAGGAGCTGCAAGACAAGAAAAAGACACTATCATTAAGACAGGTGTTCTGTGAGAGCCGGAAAATCAGCTCCAACTCAAATGCCCCTGTAGGCCAGAGCGGACTGCCCCGTTTTGTTTCCAGGCTGCAAACGTCGATGGAAGCAGGCTGCCTCGTCTTCTCCTGCAGCGTGGTTGGCAGCTTCCACCTGCCGGCCTCCGGGTTAGTAGCCAGACACTGAGCCGACGGCACCCCAGGGCTCTGAGAGAGAAGGGAGAAGAAGAGAAGAAGAAAAGAGGAGCGGAAGAAATAAATGACTCAATCCTGTATCTAAACTGCAATTCAAACTCACTGTTCGAGAAACAAAAGCTTTCCTGAAAGAAATTTGCCGACAGGATGACTTCATTGGTGAAATCCGACCCAGCTTTAAGGAAGAACTGATGCCATTTCTACAAACGCTTTCTCAGAAAGGAGAAGCTATGGGGCACCCATCCATGCATCCCACAAGCCAGGTTCCTCACAAAGTGAGACGAGGGCCCTGCGGACAGACAAAGCTCTCAGCATTGTCCTTCGTGAAAGTGAAAGGGGGCTGTTCAGCGAGACAGCACAGTCACTCCGGCAGCCTGCACAGCCCTGCAGCAGGCCAGTCAGTGGGGTCGAACCTGGAGTGGAAGGTCAGTAGACATTCAGACAGCAACCGCTACAATCTATCATGTGATCAGACACAGAAGGAAGCAAAGATGCATTTTTCTATCACGTGATAGCTAGCATGTAGCAAAACCCGCAAAAGCCGAGCACGCCGAGGCAGATAGCTATTCTAGGAGGAAAACGCAAATATTTTCCACTCCTCAGAGAGGAGGAAAGTGGTCCGGCTGTGCCTTGTCCATGGCAGAGAACTTGCGAGACCCAGAAAAATGCCGTCAGGGCTCAGTTCCAGTTCCCCCAGCTTTCACTGTATCAATATCCTTAATAGCCTGTTACAGGTAAACCTTTGACATATATTTTGTATATTAAATATAATACAAAATAGATGAATTTTATGAAGATAGAGTGATGTAAGTATAATATTAAACTCAAATAGATGTAATTTTAAAATGCTGTATATTAAATGTATCACATATACCATATCAATATAACGCAAATAAAACAATCAACTCTTAGTAGAAGTAGGAGAAACATTTGATCCATTTATCATTAAAAAAATCTTGGCAAACGGGGACTAAGAGGAACTTTCTCAACATCAGTCACTCTCTTCTTGTGCTCTGTGATGCAAAACTAAATCAAACTTTACTTCCTAAGATCAAGAACAAGACAATGGCAGCCACCTACACCACTTTTATGAAACATTGTGCTGGAGGACCTAGCCGCTGAAACAAAGCGTTAGAATCACCAGGCATTTACAGTCAAAAGCGCAGCATTGACCCAAGGGCAAGGTTCACAGGGTAAGGACCAGAGGAGGCAGTGTGGTAAACCGGGGCCCGGATGAGAACGTCATGCAGCGAAACCCTCCATCTCATCATGGCGGCTCTGGGAAGCCGTCTCTGGTGTTGGAAGACCCTCACGGTGGTGAGATATACGTAAATCTTAATACATATTCTCATGACTGGAGACCGTGCCTCCAATAACCCCTCCCCTCCAGGAACGATCCTGTAGGAGCCACCAAGGAAAACGAATCCCTCGTGTGCCCGGCTGTTCCCTGGGCCTGGAGGTTACTGCAGATGAGAGCAATCAGGTTCTACAGCCAACCCACCATGGACTTCGCAACCCTCTGGGGAGGGCACCGAGGGGTTGGAGGTCAACGAGCACTAGGTCAAGACGCTGAGCCATTTCATTGTCTGTTTGTTGTGCTACCTGCTATGAAATTGCCATTGGCTGTGTAATATGCTCGCTGTATGACGCGCCTGCCTTTGGAAAGATCTGTAAGCACCATTGTAAATACCCATTGGAAGATCCACTCCCTTTCTCAGTCCTGACATGGGATGAGGAGCCCCTGTGTCCTGCTGTCTGTCTGTCTTTATTACTTTCCACAATCGCAAAGTCGCTCCCGAGGGCCCGTTAGAGTGCTGGGGACCCCTTCACCCCACAAAGGAAGTGAGTCACAATGGTGCATTGGGGCGGGGGGAGGAGCGCAGTGGACGAGTTGAATCAGAACGTTTACGAGAACTTGAGTGTAAACTTTGATCTGCTCTGTAAACCTTCATCGAACCCACAACAAAAATTCTTGAAAAGGAATGAGAGTGGCCATTCGAGGGTCCTACGGCAGGGCTACTGAAGACAGCAGCAGACATAAGCTTCTGCACAAAGCTTACTCCGCCATCTGCCCACCAGTTCAGTGATATCAGCCCCCTGGCACTGGTGCCCGGCCAATTGGAATTTTCAGCACCAACTAGAAAGATGCTTGGGATTCACCACGTCTACAGCTTTAATAGATGCCCCAGAGCATAACTCCTCTGGGTTTTCCTCTGTCTGCTCTCTCTTGCCTCTCACCCCTGCTGGACACCTGAAACACCTGGGCTTTCTCTCTGAGGCACCTCCTTGGCCTGCCGGCTCCTGCAGCAGAGTCTTTTAACTCTCTCCTCGCCCGACTCTGTTGTAGTTTGTTAGTGGGTCTGCATTGAACCTAATTTTCTCCTCCTCTCTAATAGTGGCTCTCCTCTCTCGTGGGCTCTATGCCTTGTAAGTTAGCTAATCTCTGGCTCCAGATACAGGGCCAGCTCTGGCCTTTATGTGGCTATCTTAGACCCCTTTCACCTCATTTCCTTGGTTTCCCATTTTCTACAAACCTCACCTTCCTCAATGAATCTATTAATTAAAGGTCTTGCTCCATCTCTTGTCTCTGAAAAACCTGACAATATAGTTTGGAAAGAAAAGCATATACCATAGAAGACACGGCCACCTATGTAGAAAATTCCAAAGAACCGAGCTTAACCAGACTAAAGGATATACAGTCAGTAACACAAATGACCATGGGAACAGTAGACAAGATCTCAAATGACATATCGCATCGGACAGATCTACAAAAAAAAAAAAAAAAAACCCTTTAAAAGTGGTGAAAGCGAAGGTGGAAAAGCTTGGTGGTGGCGGTAGTGCGTCTGACCCAACCACCGTCCAGTCAGCTCTAACTACCAGTGCAAAGCAGACAAGAGGACGAACAAAGAGACAGTTCAAGCGACTGTGATAGCAGAGAAGACTGGACGTACTGCGGAAAGAACAGCCGAACGCTGTCAGAAGAAATACAACCAGGACGCCCCTCAGCCGTGGGGGTGGTAGTGAGATGGTTTACGTCCGCTTGAAGATGTCTGAAGTTCAGGGCTGGAATCCGAGCCGTCATCTGGCCACAGCCCAATGTGACCTTCTCATACGGAGAGCCCTGGGAGCATCCCGCTCTCTTCCACCCCGCTTCCTGCTGGCTGGGACTCTGGGGGCCATACGGAGAGTTGCCAGTGACCAGCCATGTTTCCACTCGCCAAGAATACATAGGAGTCCGTCCCCACCAGATGGCGATCTTTATGCTTTCTGCATCACTGCATGGGGCCGTGTGAGTCTGAAGAGGGACTTGTGGACTAGTGCTGGACTTAGGGACTTGAGTTGGACCGGGCTGGGACAATGTCTTACTATATAATGACTTTTGGTAGAAAGCTCTTTCGTAATCTGTTTCCCTAGTCAACCTGGCTCACACAGCAGGGATGGTAAGAGTTGGACTTGCTTACTTTGAACACATTGTGAGGAGGGACCAATTGGTATAAATGGACATCATGTTTGGTAAAGTGAAGAATCAGTGAAAATTAGATAAGCACCCAATGAAGTTGGCTGACACAGCAGCCTGCGCAGGGGGCTCAAACACAGAGACAACCATGAAGGATCCCCCAGATCTCAATTATACACAAGATCACCAGGCACCAGGCCTACGAATGGATTCATCTAACTAAACATGTGAAAGACTTATAAGCTGAAAATTACAAAGCACTGCTGAAATAAATCGAATGGGACCGCAGCTAAAGGAAAAGGCCGGGTTTGAGGCTGGAAGATTTCATCTTGTCAAGACAGCAGTTCTCCCCAAACGAGCTACAGATACAAAGCAATCTAGATAAGAATTCAGACGTCAGACGTTTGCTTATAAGTGAACGAACTTGTTCTAAAGTTTATATAGAAATCAAGGGAATTTAGAATGGCCAATGTGATTTTGAGAAAAAGAACAAAATGGGAGGACTCAGACTACAGTTTCAAGACATGCTGTAGACCTTGTATAAGGCACAGAGAGCAGAGTCTGCTGTAGACCTTGTATAAGG